CATCTACAGTGATAAGCATACCCCACCACTCCCCCCTCAGGTGCTCAATGACCATGCTACGCCTCTGCTGTAGATCCCCAAAAATACCTCCGCTTTAGTTAGAGCCTGGGTAATTATTAAGGGACAAAATCAGAGGAGCTGCATGAGATGGGATGGGGGAGTAATTTCAGACGGGGGGTACCATTTTGCTGTCTCTCTTCTGCTGTTAACTCAGCTGCAGTATGACAAAACCTTCCCCATCTTTCACAGAAACTCCAAATTACCTCAAGTTTCATCCTGCTAGCCCTGCTGTGAAAGAACTACAGCAATATTCAACAGGTAGCATGATGGACAACAGCCCAGCCAGACTCCAGCATCTGCTACCCGAGGACTTCCTGCAAGACCGCTTAAACGCTCCTTCCCCTTAATAGCTTCAAGGAGTGCACTGCAAATAAGCAATAGCCTGTGTTTACTTACACTTGATCAGCTTGACCACCTCCAAATGATTTGAGTGTGTTACAAGAGTCCCATTCACCTGGTGGGGATGGGGAACAAAAAAAAAGAAAAAGTGAGAACTTCTCTGTGTCTGGCCCTGGCAGAAACTGCTTCAGAGAGCCTTGTACCACATGTCCAACTGCAACACAGAGATGAGCCACTACACAGGATTTAATCTCCCTCTCTCCAGGCCTTCACAGTACTAGTGGGATACATCTCCTTTGAGATGCTGCACCGCAGAAAGTGTCTGATAAATCTTCCTGCTCCCTGTAAACACGTTAGGAGAGCATTGCATTTGCTTGCAGGAAGAAAACAGAAGATTTCTCCCTGTGCAGGGAGGAAAGGCCCAGCATTTAAAAGCAAGGTGTGGTGAAGAAAATAGCAACAATGCATCCTAGCCAGGTTCAGTTCCCTCATTTGTTCACCTGGACTGCAATCCCAGATGCAACAAAACCAGTGGGTGTTTTGCCACTAAGTGCAACAAAGCCAAGATTTCACCCTAAGAATTCACGCACTGGCTCCTCAAGGTTATTTCACAGTCAACTGCCTCAATTTTACTTGTTCAGGACTAAAAAGGAGCATGGATTTAGGGATACGCAGGTGTAAAGTAAAACACTCCGATTCCCTGGCTATCACCCGCTCCTGCTCCCATATCTTGTACTCATTTGTTCCAGGTGTGTGAAACTGGAGTCCTTTTACATGCACAAGTTTGCAGAGGAGGCTCCAAAATGAAAAGGCTCTCCATTTTAAAGCCAACATCCCTAGCAGCTTCTCACACTTCTTGCCTATACTAAATATAGGCCAAGGAGAGGATGCCTCAGTCACATTAGGCAAGTACCAACATATTAATGGGAGCCACAAAACAGAGTGTCTTTGCAAAGAGAGCAGATCTGTTTCCAATGTCACGGACATCCGTACCTTGATAATTCGATCACCCGTCTGAACTCCAGCCCGCATGGCTGCTCCATCTAAGGTTAAAAAAAAAAAGGTCATGATTTACTACACCATTTCTGCTTCCAGTAATTTCCTAAGTATCCAAGGAACTGTAGACAACCCCATACAAAACCCTGTGCCCGAACCCAGCTTCCCTTCCCCTCCAGAACCCAGGTAAGCAGAGTACAAATCTCAGGACTCTCTAGACTTCAGGAGTTATGACTTCATCCTAAAGACAACACATCGTGACCACAATCCCACCATTTACAAAAAGAGAGCTCTTTGACTTTCTCCCTGGTACAGGATGTGAAACAACTCGGTTCAGTTCAGACCCTGTAGAGAGGCCCCTGCCACAGCTATATCTACCTTGCCCTCGAGGAAAACTTCCAAAGTCCTCCTCCCACTTCCTTTTGCTTGGATGGAAACCTTCTGGCTGGCACATTTCAGCAGACTGTCTTACCTTCTTTGACTGACTGCACGAAGACTGGATTGTCTCCGCTGACTGTCAGCCCAAATCCATTTTCATCCCGCTGAATAACAACACACCGCTGAACAAGACCTGCAGAAGAAAGGTCGGGGACAAGGCAGGAGAGACAGAGAAGGAGGGCAAAAAAATACAGAGACACAAACTAGGCATCAATCCAAAACCGTATCCTACCAGATCATCACAGAGCACCGAATGAAACTTCTATGAAAAGACAGGAGGGGAAAAAAATCTCAGAGATATGAAGAAAGCATCAGTCCAGAAACAGACACAAATGTCAAGGAGGGTCAAGCTTATTGCTTTGGTTATATCAAGCAGAGATGTACAACAGAGATTCAGACAGCTCAGGCACATCAGACAACGTTCAAGATAAAAGCTGGTCTTGACGGAAAAGCAGCCATGAACATGAACCACTGAAGACATCTGCCCTCGCCCCTCAAAATAATCTGATTTCCTGGCACTTGCCATAGTATGCTCGGTACTGGACAGCCCCCTTTCCACTCCTAACTGTGCCAAGCAAGATTCCCCCCACAACAATTTAAAATCACCACAAGTAGCACAGGATCAGAACTGAACCGCCACACTTCCCTGGAAACAAACCAGCCTCATGGCCCTTTTTCGGCTCAGGTGGGAGGACATTTCACAAAGCCAGGGCTGCAGCAGTAAAGCGCAAGCCATGACTGTTTTGTTCTTCAAGCCCAGCCAAACCCAAGGAAGTCCCACATTCTCCTGTTCATCCTTTGACAGACTGTGACACCGAGGGCAAGATGCCTTACGTCATCAAGCTAGAGAAATGGAAGCACTACAGCCGAGCTAAAAATACAGCAGCCAAGACAAATTAATTTATTTTGTACAGCGCTTTGAAGTAGCAAAGTGCTCCTATCCACTCCCCTGAGCTATCCCCCATCATTAGTTAACATATTAATGAACAGCAACCAGCAGCTTAGTGCATCAGACTGCACGTTCTCTGGGGAAGGGAGGGTATTTCCATGAGGTCTGTATACCATGGGATTCTGGACACTTGCTGCAATACAAACAAGAAACAAACTGCGATCAAGGGCCATGCTTTCCAATCATCCATCCATCCGTCATCTTACAAAGCAACAGGCAAAATTCTTCCCCGGGGATGCAAGGTGGAAATGGAGCTTCTTCACTGCAACCTTCAGTGACTTAATTTGTAGCTATTTCTGGTGAAGGCAGTGGCAAGGCAGGAGCCCACAGGTCCATGAAGCAGCTGCTGGAATAAGAGCGTACCTGTCTGGAATAGGATTTTAAAGGGTGAGTGGCTGTGGGACATGGAAGAAATTCTGGGCCTGACCCCAGGCATCTCTCACTTCTGGACCAGCGCAGCTCTGCAGAAGTGAATGAGAGCTGAGCACATCATCATCCCTGGGGTCTCCGAGGACACTGTACGCTTCACTCCAGCCCTCTGGGCACAGCATCACCTCACAGCAGATTCCCTCTCCTTCCCAAACCTGATGCACTCGTTTTCCTCAGCCACGTGCTTGGAGCGGATGGACTGGACCAAAACGGAGGGTGGCCATGGCCAAAGGCAGCATCCTCACCTTCACAGCCTCATTTACTGCAAGGAAAAAGCATGACTCCTTCTCTCGCCTCCTGCCTTTCTACATGACCAAGCGTCTCTAAGCCTCACTTCAGAAGAACGATGCCCCAGGGCGGGGTGTGGGAAACCGAACACATGCTATTTCATTAAAAAAAGGCTCATTTTAAATGCTGCTGCCAGATGTACAGGTTTTCAGTAAGGCCTCAGCTAATCTTTCTACTAATAAGAACCTTCCTGGTTTAAAGGCACAGAACAGGCCTGACTGTGCATTAACCCTTTATTCCCCACACTGTTTAATTTCTCTTCCAGATTCAGCAGTGCAGGAGACTGATGCCTCCGTGACTTTTCTCCTCCGTTGAGCCTGGCAGCGTGGGCGGGCGGGCTAATACGTGCCAGTAAACAGAGTGCAGATAATGCTATTTACACTCCATGCTGCTCAAAAGGTGGCACACGCAGTTAGATTCCTTACATCTCACCAGGCAAGCTGGCTTCTGCTTTCCCTTTAAATTTTACAGAACAAGCCAATCTGACAAGGGGCAGAGGAGTCCAACAAGTACCAAAGGGGTCAGAAACTGTTTGCCACTAACTCTTCCAACACCACTTAAGCTAATCAAGAACATGCTTCTTGGAGATCTCCCCATCAGGCTGGCTGTGAATGATCTTAACTGAACTGGGGGCATCACCAGGGATCTGGGTTTTCCATTTCCCATGGAAAAAAAATTTGGATTTTCACTTTTAACCTAAGAAAAATGTGGATTTTTCATTTTAAGAGAGAAACACACAGATTTTCCCCTTTTGCAGAGAGCTCTCAGCAGGCTGGCACAGCTAGAGCCCGCAAAAAGTGTGGGGGGAGCAGGAGGAGGACAGTCAGGCAGGGGTGCCGTGTGTACGCGGTCACACATGCACATGGCCACCAGGCAGCCTGGGGAGCAGCTCCCACAGGTAAGTCTGGCAGGGGGAGGAGTGGGGATTGAGGCCCCCATAGGGAGGGCGTTGGGCAGGGCTGGGAATGAGGCTGCTGCCCAGCGTGGGGAACGGGGCCCGGGGCCATGGGCAACCATAGGGCCTGGCCGGGGAGCAGGATGAGGCCGCGGATGGCTCATCTGGCGGGGCACAGAAGGGGCAGGGCTGGCTCCCCGCTGCTGCATGCAGTCTGGGGAGGGTGGGGAGATGGGACAGGGGGGCATGTGCCCCTCAGATTTGTGCGCAAGACAGGCTACCTGCTGTGGGCTTAGGCTCCTCACCTGGCTGCACTCCCCCCTGGGGTCTTCACAGCCCAGCAGGCAGCACCCAGCACAGCAGGGCAGAATGGGGCAGGGTCCTTCTGCTGCAAGCCCCGCACTGCCCTGGCGAGGTGCCGCCTACCTATCCAGCAGTAAGGGGGGGGTGGCAGCGCAGAGCTGTGCCCCTCACTGCTGTCGGGTAGGCAGGGGGTGCCTCACCATGGTGGTGCAGGGCTCCCAGTGGCGGCACTGAGCTCCCCTGCCCAGCCCTGCTCTGCCCTGCCATGCCAGGTCCCACCCACTGGGCCATGCAGACCCCAGGAGGTGGGGAGCAGCAGGGTGGAAGTGTGGCAGGAGCCAGGCTCCAAGCTCTGCTCCACTGCAGGAGCCACTGCCTCCCGCGAGCAGCAGCCACGGCTCAG